TTTTATTTTTCTCAAGTTTATTAAAATAATAAAGAACAAATCTTACAAATTAAAAAGTTAAATAAGAATAAAATTAAAAAAATATAATTTCATAAATTATTTCAAATAAAATAAATAATAATTAAAATAATAGTGATCAAATTTTTAAAAAAATAAATAATAAAAAAATTAAAATAATAATAATTAACATTTCATAAATTATTTGAAATAAAATAAGTAACAATCAAAAGAATAAGGACTAAATTTGATAAATTAAAATTTTTAATAAAAAAATAGAAAAAAAACAAATAACAATTATAAAAATTAAAATCAAAATTAATATAAAAATAAAATTTTAAGAAATAAAATTAAAAAATAAACATTTAAAATAATATATATATCAATTAAAAATTTAATAACCAAATTTAATATAATCAACAAATAATATGATATTTCTAAATTTTTCACTACTTTCAAAAAATATTTTTCATCTAAATTTTATAAAAAACAAAATTTTTAAAAACCAAGCTAAATTTATCCTTATTTAACAAATTGCTAGTGAAACAGCCAGAAACGTTAACCATATACATGTTCCTAAACAGTTGTCATGTTCGCCTGTAAGTTCCACCCCTAGCTAAGGCGCCAAGACCTTGTATCTCACCACTCCCCATTGCTGTTCCTGTTTTCTGTTGATACAAGTTACATATATTTCATTCACTTCTCAATTCTGTCGTCGACTGTTAGCATCCGGCCATGATAAATTGGATGTTCTACAGGCGACTAAAACCATAAGAAAAGTAAACTGCCCGAAAATCTACTCAAGAAATTTAGGTTTATCAAGTCCAAGCAATCCAGATAATCATCTTCAATGATACATAAATTACACATAGTAGCCTGATGTGAATGAGAAAACTAGCAGCATCTAACATAAACCTACAATCATACACATGCATACACTAGGTCTAAGACCCTACTTTGACAATCGCATTTGAAATCTCAGCAGGTGCAGCAGACCCATACTGAAGCCAGTCCTTAGCACACACAAGGGCTTCCACTGTCTCAGGTCTCAAAGAACTCCGGTACGAATCCAGCTCTTTGATCTCGGTATCGAATACAGAGTCAGGATCAGCGGTAGATACCTGGATGGTCAAAATATCACGGGCCAGTTTTGAAAGGGTCGGATACTTGAGCTTGTTCATTTTCCACCATTCCAACACATCCAACTCTTGCAAGCGAGGCAATAAAGACTCCTCCAAATACTGATCCAGCTCTGACCTCGTATTTTGGCTAGTAGTCTCCATGATATACATATCAAAATCTGTAAGTCCATGGTCTGAAAGGAGAGTTCCCTGGTTATCTTCTGTCTTCATGTTCTCAAAATTTCCATCTTCAGCATAAGTTGGAGTAAGGGGTAGAGGAAGCGCAACATATTCAAGAAACAGCTCATGGAGGCCATCATCAACAATCTTAACGTACAAAGGAGCTTCGTCACCAAAGATTTTTGAAAAACGGAACTGAACCAACTTCATCTTAAACCGAGGATCCATGACTACTGCAATTGCCAAAGCAAGGCTGCAACCTTTAAGATATTTGTCAATCTTCTCTCGCATTAGTTTAGCAAGACTGCTGATAAAGGGATCCTCACTTGCTACTGCACGAGACAGCTCATGAATCTTCCATAGTTCATGAAAGAATGTTATTGGAGTTGCATTATTTCTGGATGTAAGGACATTGGCTGCATCAAAGAGAGGTTTCAAGTATGTGCATATAATCTCAATCTGCTTCCAGTCTTCCATGGAAGGGGCTTCTTTGTAATCAGGATCAGAAGTATCCAAGCAAGAAAATACTTCCTTTAACTCGGAAGCAGCGACCAACATCTGAAAAGTTGAGTTCCATTGAGTTCTATTGTCAAGGGAGAGGCTTTTTTCACTGGGGACTTGAAGCTGTTGCTTGAGCTCAAGGAACTTTTCCTCGTGAGATTCTGAAGTCTTCACATACTTTATGCTGTCACGGATTTTCTTGATGATCTCTCGTCCTGCACATAGGACATCTTTTGCAATGCTACTTAGAATGCGAGCACTGCAGTTCCCAATCATTAACTGACCATTGATGATAAGGGGATCTTTGACACAGAGAAGAGATCTAAGGTTTTCACGCCCAGGTTCACCCACTGGATGATTGAAAGTGATAGAAAATAGTTTGCCTTCCAAACTCCAATCAGAAAGACAACAAGCAACAGCATGGCTGATGGCCATGTCTGAATCAGGATATGGCTCCATCACAACATTGAGAATCCTACTCTGAGGCTTCCAGTCACTATCAATAAAGTGTCCTGTTATAAACACATAACCCAAGCTTTGGCTAGAAGTCCACATGTCTAATGTAAGGCAG